GTTAGAGGTGAGCCCTCCCTAATAGGACTAGCTTGTCTTTTGTTTTGTTTTGTTTTTTGAGACAGGGTTTCTCTGTGTCACTTTGGTTCCAGTCCTGGAACTAGCACTTATAGACCAGGCTGGCCTCGAACTCACAGAGATCCGCCTGCCTCTGCCTCCTGAGTGCTGGGATTAAAGGCGTGCACCACCACCGCCTGACCAGGACTATCTTATTTTAAGACACCTGCAATAGTCCCAGGAAGACTCATCTTCCACACAGGGTCACATTCTGAGGTCCCAGGTGTTCATACATTTTGGGGGCCACTAATGAGCCTCCTTCAGAGACTCAGAATGTGGTGAACTCTCCCTGTGTCAATGACCTTGGAACCTTTGAGAAGTAGAGGCTGGGGACAGTCCTCACCTGAAGACCCCACCCTTAGGAGTCCTAGTCTAGCAGGGCAGGAAGACCCAGTGAGCCCACCCAGCCTGGGTCAGGAGACCGTGGAGAAAAGACCCAATGTGGTGACCCAAAGGCTATCGGGAGTCCATATGGCCAGACAGGGACCTTAAGCTCCTGTGTCTGCACCACATGCTCCATCCCCCAAGCATCCCATGTAGGTAGCACTGGAACCCCACTGGGCAGACAAGGAAGCAGGCTTACTTACTAAGTAAGTCTTGGCTTACCCAATGGTAAGGGTGGACACTGAGCCCCAGACAGAGCCCCACCACCACAGCTAGCACTCCAGCTCAGGTTTAGAGTCCTGACTTGCTCAAGGGTGAGGGTGGACACTGACCTCCAAATAGAGTCCTACCACCCACAGCTACCCATGAGCCCATGAGAACAGGAGGCTTGGGACCTGCTGCCTCTCTCTCTGTGGTGGACAGAAACCTCCCAGGAGGTGGAAGAGTTGGCAAGTGTCGCCACAAATACTGATGGCACAGACACATGGATAAACACAGGAAAAGAAACGATTCAAAGAGGAAATTCTATTAATTACCTAGGTTACAGAATAGGGCTAGAGAAAATTAACCAACTCAAAAGAGAAACATGAGCTGGGAACTGCCCCAGGGCTAGCCTGCAGTCCTCCTCCAGAGGTTGAGCCAGGATCCCAGGGTCTTTTTTTTTTTAATATTTATTTATTATGTATACAATATTCTGTCTGCGTGTATGCCTGAAGGCCAGAAGAGGGCACCAGACCCCATTACAGATGGTTGTGAACCACCATGTGGTTGCTGGGAATTGAACTCAGGACCTCTGGAAGAGCAGGCAATGCTCTTAACCTCTGAGCCATCTCTCCAGCCCCTCCCTGAGCCTTTTTTATGGGACATTTGCACAATATGCACTGGCATATGTGCAAGCTCTATTTCTTGACCTTAGCCAACAGCAGGAAGGCTCTAAGCCTGCAGGCCAATAGCCTCTCAGGTGTCAATCTTCAGACCGTCCCTCGGCTAGCCTAGTCCCTGTTCACCTACCTCAGCCGTGAGGACCCCACAGACACACCAGATCTTAGACCTGGAAAATCCTTCAGGTCTTCGCTTATCTTCCTCCCCAGGCTGAGACTCTGATAGCTCCCCAATCTGACCCAGCAGACGCAAAGATTCTCAGCATGGGAGCAGGAGCCTGTCCCAACAGTAGGGGCTGGCAAAACCAAGCAGTTTCTGCGTGTGGTCTCGGGGGCTATTGGGTCTGGGAAGAGGAGCCAGTCGCTGACAGTGCCAGACCAGAGGGGCCTGAAACACTCTGTGGTGGGGAAGGACTTAGATCTGTGCCACGATGGGATGTTTATATCGGACTGCCGATCAGAAGGTCTCAGATTCAGTTCTCAGCTCGCTCACCAACATTTTCACAGGAGTTAACGGGGCCAAAGCCTGGACCGGGCAGCCCTAATAAGTCAGATTTGGCCACCTTTTCTCAGTAGTCAATTTTAAAACATAGTGAAAAGCAGAAAAAGGGGAAATTTATTCAATGTGGTCACACTGGGAAGAACAAAGAAATTCAGTGACACCCCTGCCCCCCGACCCCAAGTTCATCTTCTGGGTCCTGACATGAGGTTTCTGTGCAGGGCTAAGCAGTCCTGGTCAGGGCCATCAGCCCTTTTCTTCCTCTTCCTCCTCTCTCTTCTTCTTCCTCCTTCCTCTTTTTTGTTTGTTTGTTTGTTTGTTTTTGTTTTGCTCTGTTTTGGAGATGGGGTTTCTCTACCTAGTCCTGGCTGTCCTGGAACTCGCTCTGTAGACCAGGCTGGCCTCGAACTCAGTGGTCTGCCTGCCTCTGCCTCCCAGAGCTGGAATGAAAGGTGTGCACCACCACACCCAGCTAAACTGGCCCATCCTTTCAAATCCAGTCTTTCCTGCAGCATGGTCTGACAAGTCAGAACTGTGTGATCAGGCTTTCTGCTCTCAGGAAGAGCAGCCTTTTCCTTCTCCCTGCATGGGATTCCTGGGCAATTCCAGTTTCTTGAGCTTTTTGCTTCAACCGTTTGAAAGTCAAAGAATAGCCTTGTTCCTGCCGGGCTGGCTCCATCTCCACCTAAACCCCCACAGGACCCCTGCTGCTGTGGACCCCAGCTCAAGCCACTCTGGCCACATCAGTCTGGATTTCACCTTTTGGTTTTCTGCTCACCTCAGCTGTCCTAGACAGTCACCCTCAGGCCTCAGGAGCTAGTCACAGGGAAAGCCCTGGTCACCCACAGCCCTTCTTCCTCTCTATGGACAGAGCTCTGAGTCCAAAAGTGGTAAGGAATGAAAAAAAAAATATCCCTGGGTTGTGATGGGGCATGCCTTAATCCCAGCATTCAGAAAGCAGAGGCAGAAGGATCTCTGTGAATTCGAGGCCAGCCTGGTCTACAAAGTGAGTTCCAGGCCAACTAGGATTTTTACAGAGAAACCCTGTCTTAAAAAAAAAAAAAGTTAAAAAAGAGAGAAAGAAAAAAAGGCCATGACTGCTCCTAGGTGTGGTGGAGAACGTTTACCGTAGATAAAAACGAGAGCACAGCCAGAGGCAGGAACATCTGGGAGAGTCCAGAGTGACATGACCAGGCTGAGCTGGGCCATGTGAAGAGATGGGGAGTGAGGGGGAAGCAGGTGCAGCAGCCAGGAGGCCAAAGGTACAAAAGGGACGGTCAACAAAATGTCAGGGTATAGGCAGGTGTGCCAGCCATACCCTGTAACAGGTTGGGACTGAGGGATGCTGGGAGAACCTGGCAGCCAGACTAACGGGTAAGAAGGTGCATCCCTATGTGTTCCCAAACAGGCAAAGGCAAAAGCCTGGGGAAGGCTGACCGAGAGTGGATTTGGATGATGCTGATGTACGACAGGCTAGAGCGGGGAGCAGCAAGAGCTGAGGGGAGTCTTAATGTCTTCCTAGGTGCCAACACCCCCTACCTACCACAGTCCAACTTACAGCCTTCCACATGACCACAGTACCTTCATGGGAATCCTGCAGAAGCCATCCACACCTCGACCGTGTCTTGTCTCTTCCATGCACAGGTGCTACATGGCAAGACCCTCTTTCTTGACGCTGGAGGGAGACCCCAGCTCAGATCCCAGCCATGAGACCATGAGGGTGAACCATCTAGACACTACATGGGTAACATCTGCAGCACCCTGGGTGGCTGTATTGTCCCCTTCGCCTCTTATTGGCATTGTCACACTTTTATAAGCAATGAAAGCCTGCTCAAGAGGTCACACAATATACCTAAGGTCACGATGTTGGGAGGCGGTGCTTCTGAAGCCATATTCCACTCTCCCCATTTGGGCAGAAATGCTCAGAGCAAACCAAGAGCAAGGCTGAGGAGGACCTTGGGCTGGACCAAAATGTGAATTTCAAGATCAGAACAGCATAGAATACTTGTTTTAGAAGTAAATAATCTTGTATTTCACACTACATACACACTCAGAATATAAGACTGGAGGAGACAGGTTTCAGACTCAGTCCTATTCTGAGATTCCTGGAGGCAGGATCACCATTTCAGACTGAGGTAGAGATAAGAGCCAGTGGCTTAGCTGCATTGCTTTTCTGGTCTTCAGGTTGAACCCCAATTATCTGTCTCTGGGTTTTTATTAATTGTGCTACATTTGAAGCCATTTAGACCATCTTGATCTCAAAACACACACAGACACACACAGACAGACACACACACACGCCTCTGAACGGTTCAAGTTCCCATTTGCTCTGTTTTGTTCTATAAATCTGGCATTTAAAAAAAAAAAAAAGGTTTCTTACAAGTACGGGCGTCTGGCCTGCATGTACATCTGTGTCCCACGTGCATGCCTGATGCCTGCAAAGGCCAGAAGTCATCGGGTTTCCTAGAACTAACATTTCAGAAAGTTGTAAGACACCATGTGGGTGCTGGGAATTGAACCCGGGACCTCTGGGAGAATAGCCTATATTAACTGCTGAGCCATTTCCCCAGCCTGAAACTGGAACTTAAGAAAAAAAAAATTATGTTGTGTGTGCTCACGTGTGCAAAAGTATCTACAGAGGCCAGAGAGGGGTGTGGGATCCCCTGCAGCTGGAGTCACAGGCACCAGTGTGCCCTCAATGCCAGGCCTCCGACGGAGCAGTGTGTTAGTGACTGTCCCACTGCCACGGTAAAACACCATGACCAAGGCAACTTACAGAGGAAGGGGCTATTTGGGTTTATTTGGGACTTATGGTTCCAGAAGGTTAGAGTCCATAGTGATGCAGATAGTACAGCAACGTGGCAGTTGGAGCTAGAAGCTGAGAGCTGAAGATTCACATCTAGAACCATGAACAGGACACATGGAGAACACACTCAGAAGAGTGACTCTTTAAACTCCCGAAGCCCACTTCTAGTGAGATACTTCCTCCAACAGAGCCATACACCCCAAGCCTATCGAAACCCAACCACCCATACAGAGCAAACATTCACATGCTAGAGAATCATCTCACTCAAACACAAATACTATGTGCTTTTAAGAGGGAGCCATCACTCAGTGCCAAAGCTGAAAATTTTTATTTTAAAGATTTTATTTATTCTGTATACAGTGTTCTGCCTGCACATATGCCTGAGTGCCAGAAGAGGACACCAGATCTTATTATAGATGGTTGTGTGCCACCACGTGGTTGTTGGGAATTGAACTCAGAACCTATTGACCTCTGAGCTAACTCTCCAGCCCACAAGGCTGAAATGGAATATTACGCAACCCAAAGCACACAAGGGATGGGAGAAACAGGATCCTACTCCCTAACACCTCCAAGCTCTGGTCTGATGTGCTGCTTGGTAAACTATCAGCTTCTCAATTTATCCTTCCTAGGGTTGTAAGCCACCCCGTTTCTAGAACTGGGCCCAGAAAAGGGCATGGAGATGCCAGGGACTTCAAGAGAACCCTTCTGTTGAGATCAAGGACAAAGCTCACCTATTTGATATGAGACACATTTTTAGTGAGTCTGTACATGTGTGTATTTGTGTGTGTGTTTGTGCGTGTGAATGCAGGTGCACACATGCCATGGTGTGCATAAAAAAGGCAGAAGACCACACTGGGTGTTGATCTATACCTTCCATCGTGAGGTAAGGAGTTTCTTTGTTGTTTTTCCAATGTGTAAGCCAGGCTAGGAATTCCTCTGTCTTCACCTCTCATGCCCCCCATAGGATTACAGACACTCAGTACATGTCTGGCTTTCACATGGGTCCTGGGGATTTGAACTCAGGTCCTCAAACTTACATAACAAGATTCTTACCCACTGAGCCATCTCCCCAGGCCTGAGGTACTGTAACACTGACCTTGGTTCTAGCCTGCCTTGGGGAACCACCCCATTTGCCTGGTAGACGGCCTCTATCTAGATCTGAGAGCTACAGAAAAAGCTAGAAGCTCAAGTAGGGCACAGTGGATATGCCTGTAATCCTAATACTCAGGAGGTGGAGGCAGGAGGATTGGAGCAGTTCAAGGTCATCCTTGGATTGTGAGTTCCAGGCCAGCCTAGGCCATGTGAGACTCTATGGCAAAAAGTATACAAAAAAGAAGCCACACTCCAAGTAATGGGTGCTCACTGGGTGCTCGCCTGCAGGTAGCCAGTGTCTCCCTTAGGCAAAGTGAAGCCAGTTGTGACCAGGACACCTGGACATCAAGGAGACCAGCAGGAAAGGCAAGCTATGTGGGGATGGGAAGTATAGGGCCCTGAGTTTTATTTGCATACTACTGACAGAGTCTCTGCCCCCTCCACCCTTGAGTTCCTACCCCAGGAGAAGGAAGGATGGGCCAGCGCCAGGCCTGGACCCTCCCATCTCAACAGCACAGCCACTTCTGTCTTGACAGGTTTCAGCCTCATTGTAGGGGCGTCCATCCATCTCTCAGGTGCTGCCTCCTCAGGGGAGGTTGACGACACAGGTAGAATACTGTTCCCTTCTGAGTGGTCAGTCCACAGGGCTTCTAATGGGCGGGACGGAGCTGGGAAACCTGAGGCTCTGACCAGATTGGTGGTGGGACCTGTGCTGGCAAGGCCTGGAAGGTGAACAGGGAGGTGTCAGCAGGGGTCATCCGGGGATAGGTCGGGCCCAGCATTAGCCTCAATTCCTCCAGCACCTTGAAGTAGACTCGGGCAGGTGGGAAGGAATGCCAAAGTTGGAGAGGCGAAGTTTTCAGGGCCTGAGCCCCCATCGTGATAGGATCTGTCCTACCTGGACCCCCCTCACCCCAGGTCGGGACACACCCTAGACCCTACCAGGCGGGATGGGCTGGTGGCTGACAGATGTCGGCGCTGCGCTCCACAGGAGACAGAGGACCAGAGGTCAAGACTCTTGGGGACACAGCTTTTCTCAGGCTTTGGAGGGAAGATATCCCAGCCCAGCAGACAGTGCTGTGGAGAGAAAAGGTTAGACGCATCTGCCATCCAAAAACACGAGAAAGACCCCTGAGGAGCCACGAGCCTCTCCCTGGGGACCCAGGTATATCTACCCATTCCCAGTCCCTATTAACCTGGCAACTGGCCACCCCAACCCTCCCCAAGATGGACGAGAGGATGTGGGTATTAATGGAGTCCTTTCCACACTGAACTTGGCCCTGAACATCTAAATTGCATGACTTCACTAAACCATCTTCATGACCCCAACATCAAAGATGCTCCCTTTCTACCAGTTTGTAGGGGAGCTGAAGGGTCTTTCCCCTCTTCTCTTCTCCCAATTACAGCTACCCTGTCCTTCACCCAATGTGAGCAGGACGCCCTTTGACTTCCATCCTGACTAGGAAATGAGACGCATGATAGAAACATAAAGGTCTGGGATCAAACCCATCTCTCCAGCCAGCTCCACTCTGCCTCTGTGGCCTGCGTGGGGATGTCTGCATGGCTCTGGGAAACAGCCCTCCTAAGAGCCATGCATATGGCACCCAAGAGCTCAGTAAATAGTGCCCATGTAGACACCCATCTTAGACATCATGTGGGGGATAGGTGACACACCAGCCTAGGTGAAGCCAGAGGCCTGCTAGCATGCAAGAGCCTTGGAGCAAGCTCTCTTCAGGGCTAGTTCAGGATCCTGGCCACACAGGCCAGCCTCTAGCATCTTCGGGCAGGCGGCTTACCCGAGGCAGAGCCAGGGTGTCAGAGGCATCAAAGCTTTTCCGTCTATGAATTCGATAGCGGTGTGGGGGCTCCAGGATGGACAAGGGGATGCTCACCCTGTGCAAGAGGCACAGCATCAAGATCAGCAGAGGCCACGTTCGGTACCCAACTCTAGTTGCAACTGTCCAGTGGGACCTCCAGGGAATTCCAACGCTCTCAACACTCACCTAACCTGCGCGGGCTCCGCCAGAGTCTCAGGTCCCTGTTGGTCCCGGGGTATCCCACATAGGCGGCAAGGGGTACCTGGGTCCACTGGCACAGGAAACAGGCGCCGGTTGACACGGTAACAGTACACACCTGTGAGACCCATGATAAACCACAGTTGCCCCTAAGCCGGGCAATTTGCTGCCAGGGCCTCTGGCTGTCCCTCAACACACAAACCATACCATCCATTGAGGGATCACTCTGGGCCACTTTTCCCCAGCCCCTTTCCTCCCAAAGTCTTGGGTCCACACTCAGGGGCCCCAAGAGCTGTACCCCGCTATCTCTGAAAGCTGCCAGAGAGAGGTGGTTACAAAGGGCAGGACCTAAGCCAGCCGGGCCCCAGCCAGAATGGGTCCCGCACTGCTCAGACACCAGGCTGCCCTCCCCGAGTCGCCAGCTCAGAGTGCCCTGGTGGGAGTGTTCACTCACACTGGTGGCTCTCTTCCACACCACTGCTCTCCTGCAGGCCTGGGAACACAGCTCTGGGGGGAGGGGGCGAGAGAAGATGAGCAGGATGAGTGACAGAGTCCCCTCACCACCCCCCACCCTCCTTGTACACGCCCGCTCACTCAGGGGAGTCGCAGATGCAATCCTCTTTGTTGGCTTCTCGGAACCTCTGAAGCATGGAGAAGAAGGCCTCGGGTTTGCTGGTGACGGGAGAACTAGTGTCCAGGGACCCTGGGGTGGACAAAGCACCAGTGAGGGAGGCAGGGCTAATGGGCTGGGGCCCCACCTGGCCCCAGGACTCTCCACTCACTTGAGGGCCAGCTCTGTTTGAGCACCGGTCTGCCCTGACATAGCCATCCACAGACAACTTTCTCACAGAGCCCTTAACAGAGGCCACACACCCATTTATTCCAGAGACAGGAACTGTGGAGCCCTGGCTGGCCTGGAACTTCATATATAGACCAGGGTGGTCTTGAACTCACAGAGACTGGACTGCCTCCGCCTCTTAAGTGTTGGAATTAAAAATATACTATATAGGGCTGGAGAGATGGCTCACTGGTTAAGAGCATTGCCTGCTCTTCCAAAGGTCATGAGTTCAATTCCCAGCAACCACATGGTGGCTCACAACCATCTGTAATGAGATTTAGTGCCCTCTTCTGGCCTGCGGACACACACACACAGAATATTGTATACATAATAAATAAATAAATATTAAAAAAAATATACTATATACTGTTACTTCAGAGACAAGATCTCATGTAGCCCAGGCTGGCCTCCAACTCAACACTTTTGCCTCTACCACCCAGTACAGAGATTATAGACATATACCTGGCTTACATTCTTTTTTCTTTTTTAAGATTTATTTATTATGTATACAGTGTTCTGCCTGCATGTGTGTCTGCACAACAGAGGAAGGCACCAGATCTCATTATAGAAGGTTGTGAGCCACCATGTGGTTGCTGGGAACTGGACTCAGGACCTCTGGAAGAGCAGCCAGTGCTCTTAACCTCTGAGCCATCTCTCCAGCCCTGCTTACATTCTTACTAGCCGGGAAGAGCAGGAAGCCAGACAAGGTTCCCACTCTGAGGAGGCGATATTCTAAAGGACGAAAGACTAATTAGTCACCAAGGAACTCGGAGATGTGATACTGAATGGTGCCGGGAATCTGGAGGCCAGGGCCAGGGGGCTGAGCGCCACAGGGCAGGAGGCTGCAAGCGAGGTCTGAGAAGGTGACCAGAGCAAAGACCAAGGAAGTCACATTGGCCAATCAAAAGGATAGCCCACTCGGTGAAGAATGCAAGTGCTTGGCATGTGTGAGGAACTCAGGAGCGACAGGATGGACAATGGAGGGTGAGGGTGGAGGGGTGAAGCCTGGAGTCTGAGACATTCGGGGACATGGACCACCAGAATCAAGTCAGCCATGTTTTTACAGGACACATCCTTGAGGTGAGGGAAAGCAGGGACAGTTAAAAGGAGGCAGTGGACTCTAGAGATATACTAAGGAAGAGAATGTTTTAATGCTCAGGACATGAAACATGTAACGGGAGGCAGGTTGAGGCTGGGCCCGAGGTCACAGTCTGACTCCTTAAGTTCACCAAGCTGCCACTTACAGAGATGGGAGGGAGAGCCGCTGCAGGAAGGAGGAGGTGGAAACCAGGACCTCGGTTGCAGAAGTTAGATTACTTTTAAAACTGCATTTTATCTTTATTTATTTGTGTGTCTAAAACACTTCTTTTAGTGGGGTGTGGTGGCATACACCTTTAAACTTCGTCTTCGGGAGGCCGAGACAGGATCTCTGTGAGTTCAAGGACAACCTATTCTATATGGGTAGTTAGTTCCAGGATTACCAAGGGCTACATAGAGACCCTATATCCAAAACCAAATATATGTGTGTGTGTGTGTGTGTGTGTGTGTGTGTGTGTGCGCACTTAAGGTAGGGCTGGAGAGGTGGTTCAATGGTGAAGAGCACTGGTTGTACCAGGCAGTGGTGGCGCATTTCTTTAATTAATCCCAGCACTCGGGAGGCAGAGGCAGGTGGACCTCAGAGGTCCAGGCCAGCCTGGTCTACAGAGTTTCAGGACAGCCAGGGCTACACAGAGAAACGCTGTCTCGGAAAACAAACAAACGAGCACCGGCTGCTCTTGCAGGGATTCAGTGCCCACCTCCCACACTGGCTCACAACCATCTACAACTCCAGTTCCTGGCTCTGATGTCCGCTTCCGGCCTCTACAGGTACCAGACATGAACGTGATGCAAATACATACAGGCAAGCACACACACACACACACACACACACACACACACACACACACAAATTAACAGTTAAAATTAAAAACAAAAAGCTAAAATGGCAAAATTTCTGCAGCATGCATTTTAGCGCTCAGTTGACAGCAACGAGGCAGAAGAGGCTGGAGGGAAGACAGGAGCCCGGAGGTGACAGGAGAGGAGCAATAGCGTGAAGATGTTCCCACTAGGGTTGGGCAGGGGCCTGGCCTCTATAAACGCTCAAATATCGAGCAGCCCTGATTCACTCATTCATTCAGCTTCATGGGTATCCGGGCTATGATTAGCCCAACCCCACCCCTCACCTGCAATCCAGTCATAGCCCAGGTATGGCTGGAAGCGCCACCTGCTCTCAGGCATTGCAGACTCTTGGGAGAAGGTCACTTTGGGCTGAAGAAGTAGACAAGGAGGACATGGGCTGGAAAGGCAGGCCTGGCCCAGAGGCGGCTCCGTTTCAGGGGAACAATACACTGGGTATTGACTTAGACTCCAGGTTGGCGCCAACCTCAGCTGGGGAGCTCAGAAATGGGAAGGTAAGTTTGGTCCCACTTTGGGTGTGGCTTTGAACAAGCCTAGGCTCCAAGCCTCAGTCCTCCCACCTGACCAATAGGGTTGCCTCCTTCTTCCAAAAGGGCAAAGATGTACTAGCAATAACTGGACACACCTTACTGGATCTCCTAGAGGCCTCACCTCCTACTGGGAGGCTTGTCCAGGAACAGTCTGTCAGACAGGAAGGGAAAACGGAGGCCCAAAAGCTCCCCAGGATTTCCAGGTGCTCCTGAGTTACCTTAGATGGCTTGCTTGGTCGTGACAGCATGGACTTTGGAACCTGTGTCTCGTGAAGTCCCAGACCTTTTGGTGGCCTCTTCAGACCTTCAGTGGCTAGCAAGGGTACTGAGGGGGGCTGCCGTTCATCCTGGGGCTCCTGGTGTTGGCACGTGACAGATGGCAAAGAGTCCACCCTGTAGCTGTCCTTGCCATAGAAGGACCTATCAGATGTGGCTCCTCGGCGACCGTCCAGTGGGTCCCACTCCTGTCTTTTGTCCTGTGAGCTCGGGGCCACCGAGGAGCTGGAGGAACTCTCTTGGGACAGTGGCATCTCTAAGTTGCCGCTGCTGCTATAGTCCAGGTTTGACTGCAAGAAACAGGTCAGGTTACTCAAGCAGCAGTCTGGCCAGTGCCCAGCCACTCAGGTTCACTCTGGACTCATAGGTCTTCATTCTGCCGTGGCCTCTGGGTGTCCCAGCCCAGTCCCTTCCTCCCATGGCCTCAGTTTTGCAACGTCGGTGAAATGGGTGCATTGGATAAGATAGACCCTGGAAGTGTGGACACAGTCACAGGTGGTAGGCAGTCTTTTCCTCACCGCCTGGGCATTACCAAGGGGGTCACCTACCTCTGACGCTGCTCTGGCCACTGACCGACACATGGCATCGTGCCCAGCCCACAGCTGCTTCAGCAGCCCCAGGCTAAGCAGCCGAAGCTGAATGGGGTCTTTATTCTCTGCCATCTGGGGCATGGGTCTCAGCTTTTCACAGCTTGTCACTGGCTCTGGGCTGGATGATACTCACAGGAGATGCTCAGGCTACGTTCTACCTGAAGTCAAAGGATCAATGACAAAAGATGAGGGAGGGAACCTGTCCCAGAGGCCTGAATTCAAACCAGGACTCTCCTGTACTCTGCAGCCTCACCCTGGTTACTTAACCTCTCTGTGCCTCTTGTCCTAACCTGATAAACATGGCAGCATAGAGTTACCCTACCATGCTGTCACTAGGGCGACACAGGACAGTGCATGTTAAACGCTCAGTACAGCACTCAAAGAATGTCCATCAGTACCAAGCCAGCCAGGATGTCTGGCAGGTCTCCAACATTCTTAATTCCCATCTGTTTTGTGTGCCAACTGTGCTATTTCTTCCCCCCAAAGACCACGCCTCAGAGTGCTGTGGAAGGCTGTTTTTGAATGATTATGGACAACAGGAAAATGCTTGCCTGTTAAGAGACTAAAACTCCCATTGGGCCTTCCTTAGTTATCTGACCCCTGGGCCTGTGAGATGGCTCAGTGGGGAAGGGTCTTATAGCCAAGCCTGACAACCTGGGTTCAGTTTTCAGGGTCTACAGGGTGGAAGGAGAGAGCTGACTCCATGAATTGGCTTCTTATCTCCATACATGTGTCATGGCATGCGCCTGCTCATATAGACAAAAAATGTTTTTAAAATTAATCTCATTCCTAGCCGGGAGGTGGTGGCGCACGCCTTTAATCAATCCCAGCACTCAGGAGGCAGAGGAAGGCTGATCTCTGTGAGTTCGAGGCCAGCCTGGTCTACAAGAGCTAGTTCCAGGACAGGCTCCAAAGCTACAGAGAAACCCTGTCTCAAAAAACAAAAAAACAAACAAACAAACAAACAATTAATCTCATTCCTTTGTCATACAGAAAGAGACTGGTACAGAGTGCTAATTCAAAGCCTAAGAACTTATGTTATCTGGGGCTGGCACTGAGCCCAGGCCCTGCAGCAGTAAGCTTGTTCGCTGACACAAAGCGGCCCCCAGCCACTTTTTGATTTTTTGCTCATGTACCCCAAGGTCACATAGCTAGTGTCAAAGCAGGGTTTGAACTAACCTGTATGTTCCTGGTTGTTGCATAGCAGCTACTACCCCTGACATCCAAGCATCTCCCTCTTGGTGGGAGGTGAGAGTCTCCTCAGAAAGTTGCAAGATTTTAAAGTTGCTTTAAACAATGGCTAGGGACAGAAATCTGGAATGGAGCCACCTGCAAGCTGTACAGGGGTGAATCAGAACCCACACTAGGTGTGTGTGTCAGCGGTGCAGCTGCCTGTCTTTGGGTCACATAAGTTCCTGAAGTGACCCCAATACACTCATTGGTTCACCCATGAGCGACCCAGCTACACCTGGATGGAATAATTTCTTTGCTCTCTTAGCAGTGCTCTGGAGCAAACAGACCTTTGTTGACATATGACTCCCGACTAAGGGTCTGCGCTTAGGGAAGCCTGGCCCTGACAGGGCTGGTAGGTTCCTAGAAACCTCCCTCTTCTCCAGGCAACTTTGGTCCTTCAGAGGTCCAGCTCAGGAGCACCTCCTTTGCTTCTGGAAGGGGTGTCTGCAGTGTAAGGAAGGGCTTCCCACTTTTAGAACCACAGGTCCAGACTCCACCACCAGCACCGGAGTTTTTACTCCGGGTTGGGTCAGAACCCCTGCTCTGTCCCAGCCCTGCGGCCCCACACGTTCCCGGGGACTCGGGTCTCCATGCAGTCTGCAGTGGGGAGCAGAGCAGACCCCAGCCTGTCACTCCCGCGCACCCAGGCAGGGTGCGCATCGGACCTGGAAAAGGCGCTTGCCCCTTCTCTACCTGGTCTGGCCGGGTGCAGGCACATCTCTCTGATCCCAAGATCAGAGCCGCTTAGGATAAAAGGACTCGGACGCCCTCCACGGGGAAGCCGAGGTCCCCAGCAGCCCGGGGATCCGCCTCCTCTGGGTGGGGCCTCGGATGGTTGTCCTAATTGGGTAAAACTGGAGCGGGGCCTCCGCCAGCTGTCCTGATTGGCCAATTGGCGGGGCAGGACGTCAGACAAACGTTAGTGCGCATCCGGAAGCGGCAGTTTCAATTTGGGGGTGAGGCTAAAAGCCGCTCATTGCTGATTTGTTGACTGAAAATGTCAAGTCTGCCAACTTGAATTTTACTGAATGGAAATCACCGGAACTACAGGTTCCGATTGGTCAGTGTGGCCCAGCTACGTAATTTCCGGATGATTGTGGAGCTGTAAAAGGCTGCGAATAGGCGGGACAAGTGGCGAGGGCAATGCATTCCATCTTTCAAGCTTTTTTTTTTTTTTTTTCTTAAGAGAAAGTCTTTTGAAGCCTAGGCTTGCTTCGGACTAAGGGCTCCTCTCGGTTGGTGGGGGAGGGTGGATTTACAGGCGTGCGCTGTTAGGCCTGCTTTCTTCAACACTTCAAGTCTCTGTGAGGTGCCTACTTTGTGTCTGACGCCCTGAAAGGCAAAGATTTAAGAGTGGAGACAGAGGGAGAGAAAATTACCATATAGATACCAAAAATCTGGTCCGGTAAAATATAAACCAAAATTAGCCGGGCATGGTGGTGCACTCCTTTAATCCCGGAACTCGGGAAGGCAGAGGCAGGCGGATCTCTGAGTTTGAGGTGAGGTAAGTTCCAGGACAGCCAGGGATACCCAGAGAAACCCTATCTCAAGACAAAATTTAATGTAGCTCAGACTGGCCTCGAACTTGCTATGTCATGAGGATGGCCTCAGATTGACTCCTTTCTTCTTCAGCCTCTACCTCCTGTAATACTGGAATTCCAGCCTATTCCAGCATACAGAGTGTGGAACTGAACCCAGAGCTCTATGCACGGAAGTGTGCTACCTTAGTGTTTTTAACGGCTCTGTGTCTTAAACGCCCCTGGCTGCTAGCCGTTCTCCGTTCTCCTTCCTCCCTGTCACAGAAGGCCAGCCGCCCCAGGAAAAGGTCTAGACTGGAGGACACTTGAAATAAGCATCCGGGAGCCGAGCAGTGGTGGCGCGCATGCCACCCTTAATTCCAGCACTTGGGAGGCAGAGGCAGGTGAACCTCTGTGAGTTCAAGACCACCCTGGTCTACAGAGCGAGTTCCAGGACAGGACAGGCTCCAAAGCTACATAGAGAAACTCTGTCTCGAAAAAACAATATAAATAAATAAATTAATAGAAAAGAAAAAGAAAGGAAGCATCCTGGAGTTTAGTGTAAGGGGCCTGCTTTGCTCTCACTGTCTTCATTCAACAAGCACAATTCACTGATATTGCAAGTGCCCGACAATTCCGTGCCAGCTCTTGGGGAGAGCGGGTGCATGTAGCTGGTGCACACCTTCAGTCCCAGCACTCAGCAGGCAAGGACTCAAGACCAACCCGGTCTACCTAATGAACTCCGGGGCTGCATAGTGAGATACTGTCTCAAAACAAGACAGAATTTATCATGTTAAAGGCCAACCTGGTCTACAGAGTGAGTTCCAGGGCAGCCAGGGCTACACAGAGAGACCCTGTCTTGAAAAATAAAAAAATAAAGAAGGCCCTCTCTTTTGACCATGTGGGATCTGGGGTTCAAACGCAGTTCATTAGGCTGGGGGGCAAATGCCTTCACCTGCCGAGCTATCTCTACCCCGACAACCCGGATTTTTAAGTGTTCTGACACTTAAAACAGATAAAACAACAGATACTTTATTAAAAAAGATGGACTCATAAAAATGAAGGAAGGGGAAAGAGGAATATTAGTACTGCTCTTATGTAGCATGATGTGCCTATCCAACTGCCTTCTTATTTACGTACATAGATTATTGCTGCTGTCAGCCTTGGTGAGGGGAGCTTCCGTTTCGCTACTGAGGAAGCCAGTAACTGATCAAAATGCCGAGAGTTCAGTGACTGTTGCTGTGTTGTAGTGGCTCAATGCTCAACCTTAAATGGAAGAACATCAGACATCTTATCACCCTCTCCAGCGCTCAGGAAACAATACAGAAGAGGGAGCCGAAGGAGAGAAAGAGCTGGAAGAAGGGTCAAGGGTTATGGAATCTGGTATGACATGGCTGTTGCCATCTTGAAAGCAGAATGGCTGATGGCTTGTGTGGCCATCACCTTTACAAGAGGTGGAGCCCACTAATATCCCTCATGGAAGGGGAAGGCATGTGAGGCAGCGGAACTGCAGGGGACCGGGAGACTCCAGTGGCACAGCTTCCTGTAAGTTATTCATGTTCCTGTAAGCCCAGTTAAACTCACTGCTTCACCAAGCTGGACTCGAGCGGAACGGTTTTGCTGGTCCATCTGAGACCAGTGCTTTCTCCTGTCTGAAAAGACTTCTCAGAAAATGTCATGCAATTGTTATTGGCTTTTTCTGGAAAGTAAGCATGATGTAAAGATGTTGGTCAAGTTAGTAAGTTGTGGACCTGTGATGATTGGAATTGGTTGTCACCTTGACTGAATAAGGGGACATCCAGGACTGGTGAGATGTGCCTGTTTGTCACTGGGGATGTTTTCGGAGAGGAGTGACATGGAAGGCCCCACCCTTGTGGTGGGCAGCACCTTCCAAACTGCAACCTAGACGGAAAACATTGTGAGAAAAACAGTACCAGAAAAAACTGTTCTGAGTGCTTCAGTTGTCACTGCTGATATCATCCTCCGGCTTTGTTGGCCCTTCAACGCGGATCTGATACCAGCCACTGTACAGGGAGCCTCCAGGCTATCAGGACTGCTGCGCTTCCTTCCTTGGAGCAGCTACCAGATTCTCAGCCTCTCCAGCATGCGCACGACCACTTCGGGCCACCCAGCTCCATTGTGTAGCCAGGCTAATCAATCCCCTCTTACAACACATGTGTACATTCAGTTGCTTCTGTTCCTCTAGAGCACCTAATACAAATGCTCAACGTAACACTACCACTGAGGCCTGCCATGCACACCCCTGTCCACCACGGGCACTTCTAGCGCCAGCTCCCATCCTAGTGTGGCTTCTTCTCTTTGCCTGGGATCTGCTCACTAAACACATACACTAAAATCACAAGATATCAATACATAGATATTCAGCCAGGCAGTGGTGATGCATGCCTTTAATCCTAGCACTCAGGAGGCAGAGGCAGGAGGATCTCTGTGGGTTCAGGGTAGCTCGTCTTCATAGTGAACTCAAGGCTAATAAGGCTACATAATGAGAAAGAAAAAACAAAGCAAAAGGGGTAGAGAGATGGCTCAGTGTTGACGGCCTTTGCTGCACAATCATGACAGCTGGATTTTGTATCCCAGAATCTACATAGCAACCCTAACACACACACACACACACACACACACACACACACACACCTGCTTTAAAAATACACATGTACACATTGTAGTGTTTTGAAATCTGACCCTTTTTGCCATTCCTGTTGTAAGCACCCTAGTTGAGGGCACTTTCATGCCCTCCTAGAATGCTGCTGTCATTGCCTGGCTGGTCTCTTTGCCTCCATCCTCAGTCACATCCGACCACATTATGTCCTAGAACTGCGGCCGCCCACAGGCTTCCAGGAGCGCTTGAGCTCCCCAGAGTCCTGGACGGCAAATGTGCAAACACTAGAGCAGCCCTCACAGAGCCCAAACACAGCAGCTCCTGAGATGACTATTCTGGAACACATGCATATCCTGTGATACACACCAGGTAAACTGCCAGCTCAGGAAGAACGGCAGCGCTTGTACACAAGGGGGGAGAAGGGGCTGGATCTGAAGAACCAGGCAAGAACTGGAGGGATTCTGGATGCCTGGGGTGTGGCACACGCTCAGCTCCAAGTGCAAAGGTCATAAGAGGTAAGGGTAGGAGAGGGGCTGGGGGCACAAATCTGTCACTGTGGTGAGGAGATCAGGGTCTCGGAGATTCAGACAGAAAGTGACGGATTGGTTAGAGTATGGTGTCATGGACTCGATGACCCCTCGAGTTTGTGGTCTGAGAATCTGGAAAGATGTAGTTACCATCAGCTGAGCTCAAGAGTTTTTGAGACAGACAAGTGGGTGGGTAGGGGTGGGACCTCAGTCAAGAGGACACATGAAGAAGGGCAAGGAGAAGCCACCAATGGCCTTTTCCACTCCCAAGGGCCCTTCTAACAAGAAAGGTCACAGCCAAGTTCTCAGAAGGCAGAGTGGGGTGGCCCGCTGAGTCACTGATGTTTTACATGAAGCCTGAGTGTGTGGCGTTACAGAGAACTGAGTACAGGAATCGCTCTGGATCTGCTGGCCCTCAGAGGCTGGCGTGTTCCTTCCTCTCAGACCAGCCCACAGACTTTGCGGGGCCACTGCCAGGCAGAGAGTTCACACAGGGTCATAACTGGGGCTTTATTTTAGTTTCCAATACATCAGCAGAGATACAGGTAACTCAGACAAGTGCATCACCT